GATATATCTGTTGGGAGGGGGGGTATAGAGACCTTATGTACGTTCGCATTAAAATAATTTAACGAATTAATTTGTTATCAAAGTTAATCCTTTGATAACAAATGTTGAATGAATATATGACTTAAATATAAATAGTTTATGTTTATAATACATGATTTAAACGATTGATTTAATTTTAATCAAATTATTTATAAATTTAGTTGTATTTTATCTCTTAGGGGAGGGGGGGGGGTTTAACAGGAAATGCGTACGTACTTTGTGAACAATGCCTTATATCAAAAGAAAATTAATCTCGATATTTAAGATTATTAAGACTTTTTTGTTTGCCTAACAAAACAAACTTTAAATAATCTTACAATAGTTTTAGCGGCAAAGCTATCAAAAACAATGTCTAAAACACTGAGATTACTAGCGATGGCATCACTGATGACTGTCTGTGTCTACAGTGAGACACAAAATCCGGATGCGATATATCTGTTGGGAAAATAACCAAAATATTAACAACAATTGTTATTTTATTGAGAAAGAGAGAGAGAGAGAGAGAGAGAGAGANAAGAGAGAGAGAGAGAGAGAGAGAGAGAGAGAGAGAGAGAGAGAGAGAGAGAGAGAACTTTTAAAGAATAATTCTTGTAAAATAGTGAATATAATTATTGTACTCATTATTTTAAAAATAGTGTTTCCATTGAATATATATTCTTGATTAGAAAAGTGATTACAAAAGTACCATAACTAGTGTACTGAACGAAAACTAATTTCACATTGTATTAAATTAAACAATTGTGTAAATAATAATTATTAAAAAGCGATAAGTTTGTAATTATTGTCACATTTTATCAGTTAATTGTTACGATTTGCACTAAACATATGCACGATTATAATGATTATAAATGCACTTTTGATTGTATGAATCAAAATGACATCAAATTAAGTAAAAAGCAATTGAATAAACATTTGACATTCTCAATTATCTATCGGAAAGACAACGACTATATGACAAATGCATGCCTTATATAAAAGGAAAAGAAATTTCACATTTTTAAATTATTAAAACTTTTCTGTTTGTCTAATAAAACATACTTCAAATAATTTTACAATAAATTTTGTGATAAGACTATCAAAAACAATGTTTAAAACACTGGGATTACTAGCGATGGCATCACTGATGAGTGTCTGTGTCTATAGCGAGACATTAAATGCCGATGCGATGGATGTGTTGAAAAAAGTAGGCGAAACTCTTTGCGGTGATTTGCCCGCAGATCAGGTCACTATTATTAAGGAGTGCGACGGCAGTCTGTCCGGCATGGTAAGTTTACTATACACATTATTATTATCATGATACTATAATATAATAAGCGTAACACTGAAATTTTTTATAATTAATCAATATCTACATTATATTTTTACCAAACTAACATGGTAGTTTAAAATGTCATTTGGCTCGTGTCTGACCCAAGCCATGGATATCAAAGTGATGGAAAAGCCCTTTCCATGCTATTGGAATATGCCTGGAAATGATAAGGTTATTCATTTATTATAATTTATAATAAACAGATGATGATAATTAATATTTTAAATTTTTTTGCATTTGTTATAAAATAGCTTAAGGAATGTCTGGAAAAACGGCGAGAAATGGCTGTTAAGATGAATATAGATGTCGAGGCCATGAGAGCCAAAATGTTGAATCCCTACTCAGTTAGTGATAGTTTTAATTTAATTACTTTATTGTTATTTATTGCCTTTTTAATTGATTAATAATTTTATGTCCATTTCTAGGAATGTATGAAGAAAGTGGTTACTGTTTAATTAATCTTTGGCTACACTGATAAAAAAATTAATATTTTATTTATAATTGTTTTGTATTTTTTATTTTAATAGAATTTTTTAAGTAAAAAATTAAATCTTAGCAACAATTTTATTAATTTTTTAGAGAGAGAGAGAGAGAGAGAGAGAGAGAGAGAGAGAGATTAATAAATGTAAAAAAATAACCAAGAAATTAAATTTGAGTGTTAGAGCACCGGAAGAATTGCTCAAATATGTAATTAATATTTAATTAAATATATTCTTAATAATGACTTTGCGATTATAAAGTCAATACCAAATCCAATGCCATATAAATGTAAGAACAGTATTATAACTGAACATCAATTGTGACACAAAATTTGTTCAAAAAATGTGGCAAAAAATGTTAAAACAAAGCAAATGCGATGATCTGGAAGAGGAGATCCGACCCGAAGATGATTATAACCATGAATACAATTATACACCCGTTGAACACCAAACCAGTACATGTATGGATTCAATATTTTAATCTTGGTATAAATACTTATTCTTACTATCAGGTATTTCATATGAACGTTGTAATTATAATTTATTCATTAAATATTTAACATAAAACATTAAAACACAACTAATTTATGCTATACTGGGGTTAACTATAAAGATTGTTATGATTTATAGTTAAACTAATAAAAATATTATCAATATATTGTGAGAATAATAAAAATATTATATTAACAATAATGCAAAAAATTGCTGAATAATCTCGATATGAATCACAGAAAAATTGCAATTATATGCAATTAAATGCTTAAATCCGTAAGCATTTCTTTACCACCATTAATACAATTAAATGATAATCAAAATTTTCACATCACTTTTAATAAAACACTCATTCAATGCAATGATTGTCTTGTAATTTAATTTCATTAACAAAACACAAAACAAAAACACAACTAAATAATGAAAGTTAAGTTTGATGTAACAAAACCTCTTACATATAAACAACGATTCAAAAAGTGGTCCAATTCTCGGTGTAATTAACACTACATTTAATTATCTGTTTTAACCATAATTAAATTAATCAAAATTATCATCTTATTAATCCAGTCCAAGACTTCAAGCAGCAACGGCTGTCGGCGTGGCTACCATTTTACAACGGGGTGATAGTGTTTCCCACATTTTTCCTGCTATCTCTTTGCACCATAACTCTGGGCGTGTGTCAGCTATACATCTCGGCACAGGTGCAGGAGCTCGAGATCTACTACACCGACTGCTACCCGACCGCCATCGGCAACAAGACCTGCGCCCAGACGCTGGCCGACAACCCGAGCTCTACCGGCTGTACGTGTTTAATACCGTTCGCGTTGTCGGTGCCGTTCGCGGCCAACGTCTATGTCTACTATGCGCTCAATAACTACTATCAAAGTCTACAGAATTATATCTACAGCGAAAATCCGGATCAACTAAACGGTGATCTCACACCACAATACCTGTGCAACAGTGAGACCGCTTCCCTTTACAACGCCTTCTCGTACAAAGCGATCGATGGCCAGGAGGTGCCGATCGTGCCGTGCGGTGCCATCGGTAACAGTCTATTCAACGATACCATTGATATATTAGACGCCGGCAGCGGTGGACTACCTGTTCCTCTCCTATACACCGGCATTAGTTGGCCCACCGATCAGCAGAAGTTTAATAATCCACCAGGTTAGTTTATTATTTTAACCATATACAATACGGTATTACAGTACAATGTAAAGTGTCATGTACATGTCATGTCATATAATACCAAATAACACACTATTAATATACTTCACTATACATTCCACCTCCAAACCCCTGCCCCCAGGTTTACCCCTAAACATTGCGTACGAGAACTACACAAACCCTCCGTTTTGGGGCAGTAAAAACATCTGGCAATTGGATCCAAACAATCCGGACAACAATGGCTTAAAAAACGAGGCACTGATTGTGTGGTACCGGACGGCAGCCTTTCCACACTTTCGCAAACTGTACGCCAGAGTCGACCACAAAAACTCAACCCTTTATTACAATTCACTGCCCGAAGGAAATTATATACTTAAAATAGGCTACAGTAAGTGCACAAAATTGCCATGTTTAGTTTTCTCAATCTGTTTATTATATAATAATAGCTTAATATTAAAACAATATTTTTTATTTGGTATTATAAGTTATAACATTGCAAAACTAAGTAATGGTTCTTTGATTAGTCCTATATAAAAAATATTTAGTCCAATATAAACAATATGAATAATGAAAGTAAACATGATCAAAACTTAGATTACCCAGTAACTTCGTTCAAAGGCGTTAAAAGTATTGTCATAAGCAATACCTCATGGATTGGCGGCAAAAACTCATTCCTCGGCTTCGCATACATAGTATTCGGGGTTTTGTTGTTTTTAATGACTATTGTTTTGTTATTGATTTATATGCGATACGGACTCAGGTTTGAGATATTATGAATTAAGAAATGATGGCAACACTACTAATAACAATATTAATTTCTACCACGTTTAGTCGACGGGAACAATTGGCGTTAACCATAAGTACTCCATATTTTATGGGCCAGACATTGACTACAAGAGCTGTTTTGGTTAAGTTTTGGAGCAAATGTTTTCATTAAAATTTTATTTATTGTTAATTTTGTAATTATTATTAATTATTTATATTTGTTTATAGAATATGTAATTATTTATTAATTTATTAAAATTATTTGTTTTATAAACAACATTAATATTTTAATTATTTAATATTTGCATAAATATTATTTACATTTAAAATGATTGTTACGATAATCAAGTGTCTATTGAAGCGCACAATAGATATTGTTATTTTGTTTACCATAAAGTTATATAAAATCCATTATGCTAGTAAATATGACAGATAACCTTGAACATTTTATTACCCAAAACCAATTGACAATTATGAAAAATCAATTTAAATATATATAAGTAATTTTATTTTTAACCAATGTCCTGCACTAGAATTCCCTTTACTGAAGACATACTGTACTTTATAAATGTACTAAAATTATTACATTAATAAAAATCGCAACAGTATTGAAATTATAGTGAAAAATATGATTATTAGAAAATTATAAAAAAGTTATTTCCCTTTCAAAAAGGCTTTACAATTCATTATGACTTTCGACGAGAGAGATATTTCCCACAGAAAATAGCAAACAAATTAAAAATCACTTTTTAAAAAACTCGTTTATATAAAAGTGATTGTAAATAAGATTACGATAATTATTATCAATAAAGACATCGGGCTATTGTGCTAATCATACCACTCGTTAACTAATCTTAAAATACTCGACACAATACACGATACATTCAATTGTGTAAAATAAAAAATATTTGTATTGATAAAAGCAATGTTTAAATTACCGACAAAATTATACGCAACGCTAATCACAATCGGTGTGATTATCGGCACATTTGCGGTGATGTTTGTCTCGTTTAAAATCTTAAGCAACACTTATGGCCAACACCTCAACGATGACACTATGGATACGTTGGTTGAGGTGTTGATAGTCGTGTGTAATCCCGACAACACTCTGTCCGCCGATCATAACAAGACTGTTGGTCAGTGCGAGGCTCTGGTGCCCGGAGTGGTACGTTATGCACGGCATATAATGTTTGCATGTAGTTAATTAATAAATAATTTTTGTATAATATGTAGTTAAATTATAACATATATTTCACTATAGTAAATTAATTCTACGAATTGATATTAATTTACATTGTATAATTATTTTGCATTTATACAAGCATTAATTATACTAATAATAGCATTAAATATAAAACAATTTTATCAGGATATTGATTGATTTTTAAATCATGGGAAACAAATTTTTTATGCAGCAAATTATTTACATAAATGAAAATTTACATTAACATTTTGTGGGAATTCATTATAATTTATTAAGTTTGTTTTATTTTTTTTGCTACATTTTATAAATATTAACAAAACATTCTACACGTGTTGTCCCAAAGTTTCGGCAAATATACAACAGTTGTGTCCGCGAAGCCATGAATATCACAGAAATCACTCAACCATTTATTTGCTACCGTTTTCTTAAGGGCAGCGATCGGGTATGTGTTGATCATTGGTTATTTTAATTACCATTTTAATTATTACTTTAACACAGTTTAAATGTAACTTAATTATTTTTAATTTTTTAATTCTGTGTTTAAAATCTATAGTTAACTGAATGTATGTTGAGATGGGAAAGGAGAGGATCTATGATTGGACTGGAAGTGCCCCGCATTAGGGATAGGATTTTAAATAAATACTCGGTATGTATTCAATTATTTTATTTACACCATGAGCACTTTAAAATACAGTATATTAATTTTATTATTTTAAAAATTATTTATAGGAATGCATGAAACCAGTGGTTCCCGTGGATGAGGAGACAGATGCAGATTATTAGATATTGTTATATTGTTTATAATTTAACACATCAATGTCTGTTTGTTGTAAATTAACCATGTTTAATACAACCAGATTATTAGACTGATGTTGTAATGAGCATTTTTTGATACATTTGTACCAGAGTTTTTTTTAACTCGGTTTTATTTATTCAACAAATGTTAAACGATAAACGTTTAAATTGAACTTAATATTTAAGTGTTAATTATTTATTGTATATATAATGTAAATGTAATTTTTAAATATTTGTATTTTATATAAATCAATTTAATAAATAAAATCTAAACCAAATTATTTGGTTTAGTATATTTTAAAATGCAATTTGTTTACATATAATTGCAAATTAATTATTCTATATAAATTCTTTAATGATGGTCAATTCCCTAAATAATTACAAAATACACTCTTTAAACAATATATCGATATAACAAATATTTAATTCAATTAACTTTAAACAGTAGTTTAGTACTTTTGGTCGTATAGTACTTATTAGATAGATTTCTACGTACTGATAAATACACTTTAGTGATAAATAATGTATAATAATTTGTGCTTCTAAAAATATCATGATTAAATAATAATTAACAGCAGGACCTGTTTACAAATGTTTTAAACCATAAGATCTTATAAATCAAAATATATAAATAGATTTTCAATATAATAGATATTAATCTTTTAGTAAAAACAATTTATCCTGAAAATAGTTTACATGTAATTAATTATTCTCTCAAACAACTGTGATGCTAATAAATAGGATACAGGTACTTTACTTATTAAAAACTAATTATGGTAGTTCTTCAGCACCTAATCATTAAAAATGCACTTTTAATATTCATGGCTTCTGTTAAACACATAATTACCATTTGTATTGTGTTAACGCATTGAATGAGTGCTTTTGTTGTGAGCGTATATAAAGTTAACAATTTATTTCAAAATCAATTAAAAAATGCAAAGTATTTTACTAACAAAATGGGCAAAAGTATTTGCGGTGTCTTTTCTGTGGTGTCTATAGTTTTGAGTTTAATTATTGTGTTTAATGTCTTCGACGATGTTTGTGGTCAGGAGTTGATTAGTGATGAGATTAAGAATACACTGATGGAGATTATGGCCACCATTTGCGACACTAGTGTCCAATTGCCCGCAGATAAGGCCAAAGTGGTCACCGATTGTGAAGATGATATTCCCCGAGTGGTACTTGTTTTTTAATTTCATAATTAATTTGCACTACAATCATGCTGGATTTATATTGATTAATTTTTTTTGTATAGTTTACATTTATTTATCATCGATGTATACGCCAATCGATGGACATTGATGAATTTACTCAACCTTTTCCATGCTATCGGCTTATGCCAGGAAATGATAAGGTATGACCATGATTGATAATTACTGAAATATTCTTGTTTTATGATATTTTTTGTGCGTAAAGTTATTAAATTTTATTTATAACTTTCATGTATAGCTTCAACAATGTATGGATAAGTGGGCGCGAAGGGCGTCATGGGTTGGCATAGATGTGCCCGCTATTAGGGCCAGAGTTTTAACTAGTTATGCGGTAAGATTTAGTACCTTGTTTATTTAATGGCATATATGTTTTTAATTGTTTGAAGTGATTTACTCTAATTATTCATTATTTATTTTATAACAATCTTTTATCATTTTTTGTCAACAGAATTGTATGCAACCCGTTATTTAAATATATAATTTATAATAATTATGATCATTTATGTCGTCAATAGTAAACGTGAAAATAAATTGTAAATTTTAATTAACATTTTCTATTTAAACACTTGTATTTAATTAACAATCTTTTAATAAAATTACTTCTTTTGTTAAATAATATATGCATTACAACATTTAATTTTAATAATGATAAAATTAACATTGATAGAATAACATAATAATAAACTATCAGTTATAATCTATAAGTTATCAGTGATTATTAAAATGCCACTTAAATAAAACAAAAATCTAAAAAATCATATTAAAACCAGCATTTAATTCATAATAACTGCACAATAAAAACAATGCAAACCAACAATTCATTTACATTTGGCAAAATTGTTTGCATCCTTAAAATCCTTACCGTTCGCACACTTCAAGCCGTCGACCCTTTCGGCCATTTTGGGCGACTTCTTGAGCCACGCGTTATGACAATCAGCGCAATCAAAGGGCTGTCCTTTCATACCAATCTTATTGCCCTCATCCAGCTTTAGGAACGGGTGGAACACCTTCTCCTCCAGAACCTTCATTTGCTTGAAGTCCATGTCGTGGTCCATATGATCGCCGGAGAAGTCAATCTCCGCCGGGCGGCCAATACTCATGAAGGCCAACGGATCCATACCCGTGGCCGTGAGCTTCGGGTTCCGGTACAGTAAGATTTCAATGGGAATTTCAGACTTTTTGCTGAACACAAACACATTCTTCGGGATCTGTGCGATGGATGTGTCGGTGATGTGCACTTCGGTCAACGCGTTTAGATTGTAAAACGCTTTGTCCGCTATTTTGGTGATCTCTGTGCCGTTGATCGCTAGGTATACAATTGATCCGGACTGTTTGGCAAACGCCATCGACGGTATTTCCTTCAGACCTACCAATAGATTTTATCATAATGTTGTCATATATACCAAACTATTGTCACCCCTTCTCTTCCCCACCCCTAGATGTGTAAAATTCATACCCATGTGTCCGATGCAAACGACGGCCACCTTTTGAAACTTGTTGACCAAATCAAAGGACACGGCGGGAGTGGCGGCCAATTTGGGCAGATTATAGATGGTGACTTCTTGGGTGAATGTGTCGGTGCCGGCGAACGCATTCTTGTGTATTGTCTTCAAATTGGGACAATTCTGGATCGATATGCGCTTGAAATAGATGTCGCCGAACACCGCCTCCGGTATGTCCGTAACGCCCGGACCCTCTATCACAATGGCCTCCAACTCCTTGTCGTCGTCTTTTAGTGTTTTGGCGTATTTGGCAAATATCTCCTTCATATTGGCCACCGGTTTGTCACCGCATCGGAACACCTCATCGCCAGAACAGGTGCACGGCTTGAGTACATCGCCGTACGGGCACTCGTGTCCGTCCGATGGCCACACAGACAGTATGGCCGTCAGTCCGATGATTGCAATACCTGTTTGTGGGTTAATAACGAGATAATAAAAGTTAGTTTTTAATTGTTACTTACTTTTTGCAATGAGTTTAGTCATTGTTTTATGTGTTGGTATTATAGAAATGTTTTATGTGTGTAATAAATGTTGTAAAATATTTTTGATGAATTATGTTGAGATTGTTTTTGTTGTATTTAATTGTTATAATTTTTATTAATTATTTAAAACACCTGTTATATCGATCATTCGTTTCTTAATTATGGTATTAATTATTGAGATTTCATTAAAATATTTGATTTAAGTTGCAACTTTTTTGTTTCTATGGATTTTTATGTGTTATTATTATAATCATATATCATTAACATATAATATTTGTAATGTTTAAACAGAGTTAATTAATTTAGGAAATTTTTAAGTTAATTAAATTTTAAATACTTGATTAATATTTTCTAGTTAATGTTAGTGTAAATATACTGTATGTAACACATGCTAATACTAAATACAGAAAATTAATACAAATTAATATTAATTTAGTATTTTAGTAATAGACCAACATACTTTCCCACGCAATCTCTACTGCTTTGTAAACAAAAACTATTATATAACCATCCATTAACAAATAATCTAGCTACTTTAAACAGTGTATTTATTAGCAAATTGAACTTTCTCATATAATTTACTATTATTTATAAGCCATTGGTTGCGGTCATCAACTATATTAAGACCGGTCAGACCTACATATACCGAGTTTTTATGAAACAGTAAATAGTGTTTAAAAACACTTTCATTCAAATACTTCCACTGATAGGGACGGGAGGGCACGGAATACAGGGTAATAACTGTTGGTCGGCCCAAAGCGGACAAGGAGTCGGCATCAAAACTATATGTTAAGCCTATAATTTAATTTTAAAATTCAGTTAGAATTCTATGAATTGTATGAATTACATTATAAATAATATGCACCATGGTTATGTTTCGTTTTAGATTTTTTGGCTCTTTATTGTTCATTTTAATTTGTTATGAACAGCATTTCTACAGTTAGTACTTTATGCAAAGAATTATGAATTATAATTGTCACTTTATTCACCTGCCCTACACTATATGCTCATCATCACTTTACATAATCATTATCATAATTTACAGTACAGTATACTGTAGTACACAATAGTGTATACACTGTACGGCTGGGATGAGAATAAAATTCAACACAATTTGATTTATGTTAACTTATTTTTACAAAATATCAATTTTGACACATTTACATAGGTTTATTTGCATAGGTTACATTAGGAAGAGTAAAACTTAATTTGCCTTTCTTGTGTGAGTTTGAAATCATTTTTTAAAAAACAAGTAAACGTTTAGATAATTAATTGATGTAAAGTAAATAAAATTATTATGTTGAGAGTATTTTGTGACATAAAGATTATTTTAGCGACAATTGTTTGCACACAACATCTCATGTAATATTTTAATATTTTCTCAATTACAATAATTAATATAAGTTATAAACAAAAAACAAGTTAATTAATTCATTGTTAAAGTAATAAATACTAAATTAAAATTTAAAGTTGTATTTTATAGTTATATATATTAAAAATTTAACGTAATTATATTTTTTTAAATAAAAACAATGTATATCCATTTTGTTGTTTTTAATTCATTGTGCTTAAATTGCAATAAAATTCACCATCAAATCATTACCCCTTCAACCATGCACCTAGTTTACCGACAACTTTTTTGTGTAGTTTATGATCCTTTCTGAGCCAAGCATTACGATTATCATTGATTAAAAGCCGGGTTGGGTCCGCAAAATGTAGAAAATTACCCTTCTGTACCGATAAAAATGGTTTAAAAATAGCCTCGCTCAAATATTTCCACTGATACGGGTTTTTGCTGTACGGGACCAGAGATATACCGGTAGGTCTGCCCAATGAGGTCAGGGAATCGGCATCAAAGCTGGCGCTGGACAGCAAGTGATTTTCCATTAGGGTTATGTGCAAAGGGATGTCGTAATTAATGCTAAATACGAGTACATCGCGGGGTATCCGTGCGATCGACGTGTCCTTAAACGTCAATAGTTTCAACGAGTTTAACGCCAGGAAAGCCTTTTCGCCGATTGTTTTTAGTTTAGTATCCGTTATTGAAAGCATAGTTAAATGTTTCAATGGGCCGAACGCCTGGCCAGGGATGGACTCGATGTTCATTTCAGTTAATGAAATAAGTTTAATGTTAACAAACTTATTAATGATGGTAAATATATTTGCCGAGTCCAGTGATGGACAGTAGGATAGGATGAGATGAGTGGTGACAGTGTCGGTGCCGGCGAACGCGTTCTCGTGTATTGTCTTGAGGTTTTGGGCGCCCATAAGCCATATGCCGTTAAACGTTAGCTCTTTGAACGTATTTGCGCTCATTTCGGTCAACTTATTGGGCATAAAATGTAAAAGTTTGTAGTGATTGCTGCCATTCGCGGACGTGAGAGCCGTCACAATAGCGCTCAATTCAAACTCGTGGTCGCCATCGCATACCACAAGATTTTGCCGGTGAAGACATGTGCACGGCTTGAGTGCCGCCTCCGCCGGACACTGTTGTATAGCCCGTGAATGCGGTTTTGGTTTACTCGTCACAATGGACTTCGTTGTAACCTCGTTGGACTGTATCTCTACTTTCACTGTATTGGTCGGTTCGTCGGTGTCCTTTATTTCAGTGGTACATATGATTATGTTTGTTAAAACACATGATAACACAATCAATACATAACCTGTTAATTGTAATAATATTTATAACTCAATCGTTCACATATTAATTAATTATGATTACTTACCCCGCATAATGAAAGTTGCCATTTTAAATGTGTAAAATGATATATTTTTAATTGTATCGGAATTTTTATTTTATTTGAACTCGTACATTTACAGTATAATTTACATTACATTTACATTTTAATTGATTTTTTGTTCACCTGTTTGAAAATACAGTCTATTATTTAATACATAAATTCTTTGTTATAATTACTTTTGCTAAACATTGTGCTAAACATGCAATTTTTTGATAAAAACAAAAAAGTTTCAATAAAATTTATTTAGAACAAATAAAATTCAAAACCTAGGTGCAATTATAGAATATTTGCATATGATCAAAACAATAAACTATTAAATTTTTCATTTCATTTATTTAAATAATTCAAATATGAATTTTCATAAACTAATTAAAAATGACTTTAAATACCTGAAGACTTGGCATATTTATTATCAAACAATTTTCGAAATAGTTTAGTATTATTTTTAAGCCAATTATTGCGCTTATCATTGATTAAAAGACCGGCGGGTCTTAAAAGGTGGACAAAATTAAGCCTATTTGACATGAGAAAGGGCTTAAAAACACTTTCGCTCAAATACTTCCACTGATACGGGTTTTTGCTATAGGGATACAGAGATATACCGGTAGGTCTGCCGACTGTGGTCAGGGAGTTGGCCTCAAAGCTGGCGCTGGACAACAGGGGGTTCTCCCAAAAAGTCACGTATAGGGGTCTACTGTAATCAATGCTAAACACGAGTACATCCCGTGGTATCAGCGAAACTGCCGTCTCTTTTAACAGCAAATACCGTAAAGAACTCAACGCTAGGAAAGCCTTTTCGCCGATAGTTTTTAGTTTGCTATCGATTAGTGACAATCGGCGCAAATGTTTCAATGGGCCGAACGCCTGGCCAGGAATGGACTCTATGTTCAACTCCTTCAATGTGATTGATGTAACATTTATAAACTTATTTATGATGATAAATATATTTGTCGAGTCCAGTGATGGACAGTAGGATAAGATGAGATGAGTGGTGACGGTGTCGGTGCCGGTGAACGCCTTGTCGTGGATTGTCTTAAGACTTTGTGCGCCCATAAGCCATATGCTGTTAAACGTTAGGCCTTTGAACGTATTTTCGGTCAATTCGGTCAACTTTTTGGGCATAAAATGTATGCTCCGGTAGTGATCGCTACCATTCTTTGTCGACAGAGCCGTCACAATAGCACTCAATTCAAACTCCTGGTCGCCATCGCATACCACACGACTCCGACGACTATTACATGTGCACGGCTTGAGCGCATCCGTGTCTACGGGACAGCTTTGGATAGTCCGGGCATATAGTGTGCGATTTGCTGTTATAACGTATGTGTCGTTATCCATAAGCCGAGTGCGGACTGTAGTGTCCGAATCATCGTTGTCCCGAATAACAGTATCGCAAATGATCATGTTTGTTGACCAACATATTAATATAATCGTTAATATTCCTGATAATTTAAATTAGAATTATAAATTTAAATAATAATAGCAACTTTATTAATTAAAAACTTGCCTGAGTAATTAATATCTGACATATTGTATTAAATATAAAGTAAAATGATGATATACAACTTATGTTGACCATTTTATACTAGTATTATATAATAGAAATTAATAATTTAAGGCGAATTTGACATTATTGATTTAATAATCACATTTAGTCTATGATTTATTACATAAATCCTTTGTTATTATTATTGATACAGTAATAAAAATATGATATTTAAATGAAAAATAAAATAACGCTTACAAACAATAAAACATAAACATAAATTTGAAATTTATATATTTCATATATTTATCATATACCGTAATTAGTAGATTATCAATGATTTCAATGTGAATAAATACTAACCATGATTTTTAAAATAAAAAATACAGTAAATAAACTACAGTATATTTTATATTACTGTACATAATAAAAGTATAAACTCATACTAACACTCAATTTGTTTAACTTTATTATCAAAATCAATCCAAAGTAATCTCTTAATGAAATTAGGATTAAGCCATTTATTGCGGACATCACCGCAAAGAATAGCCGAATGGCCTAAGAATAACACTTTATTGCTATCATTGGCCTCGAAGAACGGTTTGAACGCCTTTTCGGTCAAATATTTCCACTGCCGAGAGTTCTTAAAGGTATGATTGATATATATTATGGTAGGTCTGGCCAATTGGCTCAGGCTATCGGCATCGAGACCAGTGTTGTTCAGCCATTCATTCTTTTGTAGTGTTAGCCGAAGAGTAAGATTACTGTCGGGACTAAAAACGAGGACACCTTTCGGCAAATTGGCGACCGATGTCTGACTTAACTCTAGTTTTTGCAATGAATTTAACGCCGCGAACGGCTTATCGCCGATTATCTTGAGTCGGGAGTCGTATATAATTATTGTATGCAATCGCGTGAGTCGTGCGAAAGCACCGGACGGTATGGCCACCAAATTGATCTCTTTCAACGCCACAGTGTCTACCATAACAAACTTGTTTACGATCGTGAATATATTGTCGGTGTTGAGCACCGGGCAGTTCCTGAGCTCAAACTGTTTTACCACAGCATCCATGCCGTGAAATGCGTTAACATCGATGCTTTTGAGCCGTTCGGCGCCCATCAGCCACAATACGGCGGCCGTAATGTCTTTGAATAGATTTTCGGTCAATTCGGTCAAAGTGTTGGCCGTAAACTTGAACCGATCGAAGTGTTTGCTTTGGTTTTGACCGGAGTTAGCGCTCAATGAGCCGATGATTGTCTTCAAGTCGTACTCCTGTTCCTCATCGCAAGTGATGTGACTTTTATGACAAATACACGGTTTTATCACATTTCCGACCGGACAGTCCGCTAACAATAGACTCGTTGTATTGCATAATATATGTGGTATAAAGGCATAGATGATGGTGATTATGATATATTTACCTGTTATAAAAAGATTATTTATATATATTTAATAAGATTACCATTAAATAATCATTATATTTATTTTTACCGTGATTAATTGGTACAAACATTGTTTAATAATTAAGTTCCCTTATTTTAAAGCGATAATTACTTGTTTAATCGTTTTGTAATTAACATAAAGGATATGATATTGAAAAACAGTTTAATTTGCATTTAATTAAAAGTTGTTTATTCAGTTGTAATATCCTATGATTTATTTACTCATTATGATTAATTGAAATAGATTATAGGTTATTTAAATTGTTGAAATAAACACTATCCTTACGAGGGAATTATGGTTATAATCTATAATTTATAAATTGTATAAATATTGTAGTAATCGGACCGAAAGCCTGAGTTTCTTATAGTAACTAATTTAACATTACTTGGCATTTAGTTAAACACCAAAATATTTTTATCATATAAAAGAATCAATGGTTTAAATATTCATTAATTAAGAAATACATAATTTTATTAGATTATAATTTATAGTCTATAAACATGCTAACATAAGTTACACAATAATGTCATAACATTTTCAATATTGGACTGGGAGTCCAACTTTAACTCAACACATTTGGCAATTATTTCTGATAACTTGAATTACAACAATTTGTTTATACTTAAATTTCCGGTCTACAATATAATTAGGACTAACAAATCGTAGTTATTATTTATTAACAAAACAATTATACAGTTTAGAAAGTTCTTTGCATTGAGCCAACTTAATAAATGTACTTATAGTTAAATGTACTAAATGTACTTTAGTTAAAATCACAACTATTATAATTATAAACTAAATTACAATAATTTTTTGTCATACATCTTGTCATACAATTAAAATAAATAGTAATTATTTGGTGAATATAATGCTCTCTCGTATTAAATATGTGGTTATTATCTATAACCTGTTGTATTGGTTGCTGGGAGTGGTAATCCTGGGTCTATCGGCGTACCTATGGTGGTGCTCACAGGATTA